ACACACACACACACACACACACACACACACACACACACACACACACAGTCAACCATGTCTTGTGTGCAGTTGTGGAGCAGAGGTCGGCTGTGGGCCTGCGTGCTCGGCGAGGGTCGACTCCAGAGTCCGAGAGGAGTCGGAGCCACGTGATCTGCGAGGCGGCCAATCCTGACACAGCAGTAAATACTTAGAATGCGACAGTAGGAAATGCTACTCCAAGACAGGGATAAAAGGACATAAGTAACATTTTATTTTGTATAAAAGATATTCAAATATCCTTACATGAAATGTGAATGCAAAAGATAATTCAGCCACCACATCGTTTTTTTACTCTTTAGCATACATACAAAATGTATAATACAATACACAATAGCTCATTATTATTAGCATCCATTAGAGGTCTTTTTTAGGTTAGTGCCACAAGAAGCCACCGCTCAGTCTTTCAGCGCCGTAGATCGATACAGTTGTGGAAAACTACAGCACAGTGTGAATTAAGTCCATGTTCAGTGCTTCATAATGCCATTTATTTTCATGTCATTGATCCCCATCGGTATGGTACCTGTTGGTTTTACACTGCAACAGTCACTCAGAGTGCAGTGTTTCTAGTGTTCAGTTAACTTCGAGCCACCTGCAGCATTTCCTCCACAGTCAGAAGTTTTTCTCTGGGTTTCCCAACGGCTTCCCCCCTCCTCGTCTCCACACCGTCAATCTTCTCCCAGTCTGAGAAAGTCACAGGTTTCACTCCTACAGGCGATAGAATACAAATCACAGACATCAACAGACACCTTGTGGCCAAATCAATAACATGCATTTAACTAAATAAAGTTGAAGGCACACTGTAAATTCATTTTAAACTATTTTAGACTGAACGATTGTGTAAAGCTGCAGGTCAGATAACAGGAAGCAGTGAAAGAACCAAAGGGGACAGTAGAGTACCTCTCTGCTCCAGCAGAGCACTGACGCTTCGTGAACCAGGCTTGGCAGCAGACACGTCCAACGTTCCCGACTCCATGTCCTCCACCAAGGATCGAGCGGTGTCAAAACTATTGTTCATAGTGGTGGCTATGACCCCGGTGGGGCCTGTTTTCAGCCAGCCACTACAGTATAGACCTAGACAGAAAGATGAATTCACTACATTTTTCTTGAGGCTTTAGCTCTCGTTCTTCGTGGTATTTGCCAAGTACCTGCAGCTTGTTGAACGCGGCCCATGCTGTTCGGGACGACGGCTTTGCGGGAGTCGAACGGCACCGACGGATGGATGGGGAGGCTCTTGTAGCCTATACTGCTGATGACCAGGCCACAGGTCATGTCCTCCACTTCTCCAGTGAGCACCGCCCGGGCTCCCTCGCCTGAGCCCTGGTCGTGCAGTGGAAACAGACAATGAACGACATAGCTGCAAAACGGCTCCACGGGGGACTTTTAGATTCACGCACGCACGCGCACACACACACACACACACACACACACACACACACACACACACACACACACACACACACACACACACACACACCTCCAGCCTGTTGACCGCCAGTCGGATGCCAGCTGTCCTGCTGCGTTCGGGGTCGGCCAGGATTTCAACGGGGCTCCGGAAGAACCGAAAGCCCCAGGTGTGGGAGGCCCCGCTTCGCCTCTGCTGCTCCTTCTCTCCTGGGATCTCCAGGGCCGTCTTCGACATCAGCTCCGTCAGCCGCTTCCTGGGCCTCGGCAAATCTGGCACGGCACAAGAGACCTACGCTTAAAATGGACATCCGTCAGGTTTTCCTTTTCTTTTTTTTCTCTTACGTTTAAAGAAGTTACATTCAGGACACTGAATAACTGTGTGTGTTTTTCTGTCTGATCTCTTCATGGCCAGGAAGGACAGTCAGCCCTGTGAGTACTGTTTTAAATTGTTAGTTGTACCCTTTTTTTTTTTTGCCTTTCATTAGACTAAAACCAGACTAAAATGGTTACAAAGATGTATTAATGACTCAAATATGTAAAGACTAGAATGTTGATAGTAAAGACTCAAATGTTTTCAGTTAAGTCTTTGTTGGTAAAAATCGGACTAATATTTACGCAGCCTTCTGATCTCAGGACTAAGACTAAATCTAAAGAGTAGTTGATAAAATGAAGAATAGCATACATATCTATATGTATGTGGGTGTGCGTATATGCGTTTTAATCTGAGTCTGTATTGAAAATATGGAAAGTGTGTAGGAGTGTCTGAGAAAACACAGAAGAACCAAATATATCCACATTTAAGACACCTGCAGAAACAAACTGGTCCTCGCACATTTCCTGTCAGCGCGTGCTTTTTTCCAACGCGCCCAGGGAACCACGAACCAGCCGCCACTACAGCGCTGCTAATATCATCACGGGCATGTTCAGCAGCGAGACGGACACAAACCACCACGTTTCTAATCGCATCCTTCACTTCCTGCTTATCGCATTTGACAAGAGATGAGATCAAGGTTGTCACAATAACAGCAGGCCGTTATCGCTCTAAAGCCCGGTCCAATGTCACTCCTCTGGCAAGGACGAAGACCGGCCCAAAGGGCTGAATGCGGTGTGTGTGTGTGTGTGTGTGTGTGCGCATGCGTATGTGCATGCGTGCGTGCGTGGCTGCACAACTCTGCAGCTTCTTACAGCAGCAGAAAACCATAGCAACCACCAGCTGTATTTACAGTTAACAGTTTCTATTCACCTATATGGGCTGTAGGTCTCAGCAGGGTGTGTTGTGGCTGCTAACCACAGCACACATTTCTTCCTTCCTTGTGACATTTTATCAGCCGCCTCTGCATTAGTCAAAGTTGCATTTCTCTCTCGAACACATGCACTACCTTACGTGTTCCGTACCGCTACGTCTGGTGAAAGGAAAAAAGGAAAAGAATACATCTCTTATTCTGTTTTATTGCGTGAAATAAATACGTTACTGTGTGTAAGCTATCGAGATGTGCACTATGCTCATTCTTAGGCCCTGGTCTCCACACTGGAGACTGGTCCAAGGGCAACGGCTCCCTGCTGGCCGACGGCGGCCTGGTGTCCA